CCAAGGTGTAGGTTGTGCAAGGAGGCCCCTGAGACAGTCCAGCACATCACAGCAGGGTGCAAGATACTGGCAGGGAAAGCGTACATGGAACGACATAACCAAGTGGCAGGCATAGTGTACAGAAACATCTGTGCAGAATATGGACTGGAAACCCCGAGATCAAAGTGGGAAACACCCCCAAAGGTGGTGGAGAACGCCAGAGCTAAGATCCTGTGGGACTTCCAGATCCAGACAGACAAAATGGTAATGGCGAACCAACCAGACATTGTCGTAGTGGATAAACAACAGAGGAAAGCCGTTGTGGTAGATGTAGCAATACCAAGTGATTGCAACATCAGGAAAAAGGAGCACGAGAAACTGGAGAAATACCAGGGCCTCAGGGAGGAACTGGAGAGGGCCTGGAAGGTGAAGACCACAGTGGTGCCTGTGGTCATCGGGGCCCTCGGGGCAGTAACCCCCAAACTGGAGCAGTGGCTACAACAGATCCCAGGAACAACATCAGACATCTCAGTCCAGAAATGTGCAGTCCTTGGCACAGCCAAGATACTGCAGAACCCTCAAGCTCCCAGGCCTCTGGTAGAGGACCCGAGCTCAGAGGATAAGAACCACCCGCGGTGGGTGAGAAGGAAATTTATATATATATACATATATTGAGAACCCTCGCTATAATGCGGTTCACCTTTTACGGCCTCGCTGCTTTGCGGATTATTTTTGTGCAGTTTTTTTTCACAGTGCATTGTACTCTGCATCCTGATTGGGTAAACAGTCCTCGAGCTTCTTCTTTTTGCCTAGAAGAAAAAAGAGCGATAACAACTACTGATAACCATGTTTTCTTTCGATAAAACCACCTGCACTACAGGCTTCAGAAGAAAAAGACACTAGAGAGCGGAGTCAGGCCGTAGCGTCGCAGTCAGAGGCACAGTGAAATATGCGGGTTACAATTTGTCCTACTGTACTTTGTATTGATGATTACAATGAATATTTTACTGTAGTTATTTATAAGAAAGTGTTATTTGTTTTAAAATCAATGCTTTGGCCTGAAAACAAGTTTGGTTATTTTCTTTAAATGTAGAGTATTTTATTATGCTGTATAATAATTGTCAAAAATATAAGTAACTACGTCATGGATTTTCCCTATCATGGGTTCTTTTCGGAACACAACCCCTGGGAAAAACAAGAATTCACTGTATACAAAAACCTGAGAAAGGTAGTGATGTGCTGCTAATGGGGCAAAAGATCTGAATTCCAGGGCGTAGGGGAAAGCACCACCCACATTTGGAGGCCTCTAGTCCTCGATGCCGCTGTCGCAGAATTGACTCTTGGGCCTGACAATATTTGCCGCATGTCTTCCCCCTTCTCCTTACCCTATTCCTGTCAGTCTTCCCTCATATAAGAGACTAGTGGAGGGGAGGGGAGAAAAAAAAAGATCTGGATTCCCCATTTAGAACTGTTCTACTCCTATGGGAATCAATTGAACTCGCTGGATCCTGAAGAAATTCCCCTGATACTCTCAAAGGACCAGGACCAACTCAGCTGAAGATTTGGCAGGTGATCTTTCCAGCTATTGTCCATCAGTCAGGCCCACAATGTAGCCTTCATTGTGAGGTGGAACCTCTCACAAAGACATTGGCCTGCGGATGGTAGGCAACCCCAAGGCTCACTGCCACTGCAGTCCACAACTCTGAAGTGAACTGTCGGAGGTCAAGTCCAATGGCACACCAAACCGGGACACCCAGGAGGAGATAAATGCCTGAACCACAACAACCAAAGTCCCTGGAAGCAACCCCACGTAATCCACATGCACATGTTCAGACTTCCGTTGCAGAACAGGAAAGTTCTCCAGTGGAGTCTTAGTGTGCCGCTGCACCTTGGCACACTGGCAAGCCAACCAGGAAGCCACTCATGTCCATATATCTTTAAGGAGTCCCAGCCACACAAACTTTGCCCCTACCAGTTTAACAGAAGCTTTAACGCCCAGGTGTGAAAGGGAATGAGCTGCATCAAAAACCCGCCGACACCAACTAGTAGGGCCAAAGGTTGAGGTTTGCCTGTTGAGACATCGCAAAGAAGGGTTGCACCACACTCATGAAAGGAGACGTCCTCTAAATGCAAACTGGGTTCAGCCGCTTTAAAGGCCAGAATATCCTGGTCGGTCAGTTGGTCTGTGGCCATCCATACATCCTACTTGTAGAAGTTTTGTTCCTTCAGTTTTATTTTGTTAAATATTATGATGAGCTTTATTTAATTTATTTTATACCTGGCTTTCATTAAGCTACTGTATTACTTACATAACCATTTTACAACCAGCCTGTTTTGGAATTAGTTTAATCAATCAATCAATCAAATCAAATTTTATTTGTATAGCACATTTCAGCAAGGCATTTCAAAGTGCTTTACATCATAAACACAAGAACACAAAATCATGCAACATATAATAGACAATACATTGTTACATATTACATTTCAAAAACAATTCTAAACAGGTGTGTTTTTAATTGCGATTTAAAAGTAGTCAGGGTTTCTGCTGTTTTACAGTTTTCTGGAAGTTTGTTCCAAATTTTTGGTGCATAGATGCTGAAAGCTGCTTCTCCTCTCTTGGTTCTGGTTCTGGGGATGCAAAAGCAGAACCAGAACCAGAACCTGAGAGTCTGGAAGGTGATACAACAGCAGGAGATCTTTGATGTATTGTGGTGCTAAACCGTTCAGTGATTTATAAACTAACAACAGTATTTTAAAATCTATTCTTTGAGCTACAGGGAGCCAGTGGAGGGACTTTAAAACTGCTGTTATGTCTCTATCTTCCTGGTTTTAGTGAGAACAGGAGCAGCAGCTTCTGGATCAGCTGCAGCTGGAGGATTGATTTGTTGGACAGGCCTGTGAAGACGCTGTTACAATAATCAATGCGACTAAAGATAAACGCATGGATGAGTTTCTCTAGATCTGGCTGAGACATTAGTCCTCTTTAGTCGTTACTTATTCTATAAATAAGAATTGATTGGCACCAACCACGTGAATCAGGACAAAAATACGTTGTTTTAGTGGGCTATTTTGTCCCTATACTTTAAAATATCTTAGTTTAACACCTTTTTTATTTTATCGTGCTAAATAGAGCATGTTGGTGCAGTGTTATGTGGGATAAATGCTGTGTATATCTTTGTAATATTGGTATATATATATATATATATATATATATATATATATATATATATATATATATATATCTTGCAAACACTTCATTCAAACACCTGTTTTTGAAATATTTATTAAAAGGTAGGATATTCTGATGAAGGAATTTAGTCAATCAATATATACCACTGTATTTCATGAAACATAGGAAATTCAAATAAAGGGAATAGGAGCAATAAAGTGTGATACCTAAGTATTTTGTCAAAGTTTGGTATTGTGATGAAACCATTAAGTACAGCAACACATGCTACCGCTATATTTTCCAAAGATCGATGAAGGGATTTGATGCATCAGAATGTGCTCTCCTGTAGGACATGCCGACTAAGGATTTTAAGCACAACTACCATCAACATCATTTGATGTATTTTTTTCACATACACACACATATATTCTAATATCAGGATTAGTGCATACATCTGCAATAGCTTTTCATTTTAAACGGGTAGGATATTCTGATGAAGTAAATGAAATTCTTGCGCATAACAAGCATAACTCCTAAGCTTCTATTTCAGTCTCATCACTCAATGAATGCTATCCAATGAGGATCTTTAATATTAACAGAACCTGTTATAATTTTTGGTTTGTAAACATGACGGTAGCAGTTTTAGACAGCTGGCACTGACAAGTAGACATAGCTATCTAGTTGTGTTATGGTAAGAAAATCTGACGAAGTAACAATGATGGAACAAAGGTGTTCAGTCATATCATCATATGCAGTCATAATAGCATACATGTGCTGTGCATTAAGAGGTCTGCAGCATTTCGAGGAGCAGTGAGTTCAGCATAAGCGACAAGATACAACAAAGCTAAGGCCAGTTATTCTAAATGATACCTACATGTATGTACATGCATTGTTGCAATTTCAAAATGTATTTAGAGCAGGGAGTAGAGCCGCAGTCGACTGTTTCTTAATGATGGTCTGATGGTCAATTGCTAAGTTGGGATGTCATACAGCTCTTCATAACAAAGTGTATGACAATCTAACTTCTCCATCATGATGTCATGTTGCTAATTAAATAAAAGCAAGTGGTAATGACAGCATATACTTGTCCAACAGATACAACCATCAGTTTGTGCTAAGCGTATGATGATCTGACAGCGTATGATCTGAATATATATATAATATTTGCACTTGAGTCAGCTGTTTGTAATCCTGAGTATGAGAAAGTTTTGTGTTTCACATAATAGCCTGATTTGTAATATCTTGTTCATAATTTTAATATATCAGCATTGAAAAATGTGTTTTTTGGTTGAAAATTACTTTTTGTGAGTAAATATTCAAAGTGCAGCAACAGCAACGTAGCTATTTTCACTTATGTAATGTAAAATAACTAAATCATTTGGGGAAATTGTTCTGGTTTTCTGGTATTATGCTGGGCAGTGAATGCTTTTCATTCATTTCCCAGCATTGTCAGATCATGATACATTTGGCACAAAAAGATTTGATATCTTCTTGTATATACATGTCACGTGATTCCGTACAATTATTACATTCGAAATGTTTAATTAAAAAAAATTATTTGAAGGTAACTCATTTGTCAGTGTTGCCTTCAAGGGGTGTGGGAAATTTCACTATCAAAGAGCCGCCTGAGGTTCGACAGCCGCAGGTTCGCCACCCCTGATATACTTTATTAATAGTTTTGTATTATACCTTCATTGTTTGTCTCTTTCCTGTTATTTGTAAATATAAAAATAGCAGTAAAGTAAGAAGAAGAGAAAAAACTTCCTGTGTGAGTGCTGAGGGGCCGGGAAGCAGCTCTGATTGGTTCATTCGGCTGCCATTCAGCTTCCGCTTCCAGACTGACCTACTAACACAGATCTGAGTCACTGGCCGCATTACGAACCGAACCGAGGTACCGAACCAAGGCACCGAGGAAGACGGTCACTGCTAGGAATTTCATCAGCCAATGGAAAGGTTCGCACATATCTTGAACTATGTGACAGGAACTAAGACCAAACTCATCGAAGTGGAAAAGGTAGACATCTTTTTGTTCGATGTGGGCTTTAAGTTCCAGCAGCACATACTGTATGTTAGCTAACGTTTCACTTTCCCTTGGAAAAAAAACTAAACAGCAGAGCTGAAGAAATTCCTCTTTAAGTAGAGAATGTCGAGAATTGAATGATTTCGTGACTTAATTTTTGAATCCATTGCGTTGCTGTGGATTCGTGTTTGTCCGGATCTTCTGCAGGGTCGTAACTTGATAATTGACTCAAATGGAAGGACGTTGTTACAGAACTCGGTGTGGCAGAAGTTAAAGGAATAACGATATAAATAAATCATGAGGAGTCAGACGGTGTTTCTGTTGGGATGAGGGATTTATGAGGGATTTTTAGGGATTTATGAGAGATTTATTAGGGATTTATGAGAGATTTATTAGGGATTTATTAGGCATTTCTGAGGGATTTTGTCGTGTTGTTACATTTAAGGGCGTCCGGGAGGCGCGTGATAAGAAACACATCCTGTTTTCAAACAACCGAGTCTTTCTGCTGCGTCTCATTAAATCAATGTGCCGCTTCTCCAGCAGCAAAACTAACAGGTTTTTATAGTTATAGACACTGAATCCAAACCGAATGACTACAAGACAAATCGCTGCCAGGAGGCCGAAGTGACGCTGGTTATTCTGTATGAATGAACCTGGAGCAAAAGGTCCCTGGGTGCCTGCGGCTAAAATTGCTGGAAGAAGATACAGCAGGAAACCTTCATCTGATACTTTCATTGAAACTCTGGCATAATTAAACTAATATTTCTACGTTATTGCCATATTAAGACAACGAGCCTCAGTTGAGTATTAATGTCCTTTAGGAAGCATAAAGAGCCACTGTGGCGCATTTCCTCCAATATTTTAGTAGGCGACAAAACGTGGAATATAACTGTTCTGGCATGAGGCGAGTTTCACAACAAGTTGGACAACATGTACTGAATCTATAGCATCACACAATTTTATAGAAGTTACAGATGAGACGTACAGTTGTAGCTTCACTGTACTGCCTATTGTCTTGTCTATTTTGTCCAAAATTCTCTAAACTGATCTGAAGTTCAGCAGTGATACAGACCTTGTAAAAATGTAATAAGGTTTTGCAACTAACTGTTTAATGCAAATACCAAAGTATATTGAAACATATTCAGATAACTGATAATATGGTTGGGTTTTTTGTTTGTTTGTTTTTTTCCAAATGAATTTTAAGGATGATGTCAAACTCTGATCTGTCAGTCCTCAATTTTAATTCTAAATTCACCTTTAACAAATCACCAGTTTCATGGTTAAAACAGGTCTTTTGAGCAAGATGCATTTTAATGTTCTTCTGTTTTTTAATTCCTGATGAACAGTTTCTGTCCTTTCTTTGGATTAAAATGATCAAACAAGAATCTTGTAACTCAAAGGCCACACAGTGATTTTAGTGACACATGTTTTTTAACATAAAGATATACTGACTCTGATACAATCATTCAAATTAGGTTGCAATACCGCCAAAACTTAAATGTGAATGCCATACAGACATAATTAATAAATTAGATGTCATGATGAGGCTTGTTTGATTAATCATACTTTTTCAAAATAACAACCTTTTCGCAGGTTTAGACATACTAAAAGATATAAAGATCCAAAGCATCAGTGGTCTAATATTTTTCACTTGGTGATGGAACATAAGAAAGGAACATTTCCTTCAGATTGTAATTTTTGGAATGAGTGCATATTTGCTCAATGCTTGCCTAGAGTTGAAAACAGTTACACAACTCAGTAATATTTTTGTGAAGAATTATCACATTAATATTGTTGCCTTTTATTATCTGATTTTATCATGTGCTAAAAAACATCAAGATTATATTATGTAGCAATCAAAATGCTTTTATAGAAATCAAAAAGCAGAATAATGAGGAATCTGAGAAAAGTGCTGTTTGGATATGTAAAATATGTATTTTCTGCATATAAATTTATAAATAGTTTGGCTTTGGTCAGTTCTGTCAAGATGGGTCAATATAACAAACTGGTGGTTGTATTCTTTTTCTCTCAGTCAGCCAGCATCACTTCTGGACCTGTTGTCATAGAAACCAATAAATGACAGCTCCACAGCGCAAAAGTTGCATTCAAGTGTATCAGGAATCAAGATTAAAAAACGCAATCATTTCCCAAACAAAAACAAATATATAACACCAAGACAAAACTTTCAGATTCTTACAGTTTTATGTTTTTGGATTTTTCAAGCATAATGTTAAGTTTACGATCATTAAATGATCACCTGATGTTAGCAGTAGTTGATTAGCTAATTTAATAACTTGTTCTGCTAATTATCCATCAGAAAATATATGTGGGTTGCCTTATTTTGTGTAAACTGAACCGAAATACATCAAACTGCAGCACAGGCACATATTAAGGTTGTCAAAGTCAAGCTATAGCATAACTAAGCTACTCCCTACATTATTTCTATATATTGTTTTTAATTACAACTTTTTACTGACCTGTGAGATGTTATTCCCATGGACCTCTTTGTCTTGCTGTCGTAGACAAATAGCAAAACGTTACGTCCCCTTTTCATATTGTTTGCTTGATTGTGTCATTTTCCTGATATTCTTGACTCAAAGCAAATAAATGGCCCGTGACGCACATAAATAAGTCAGGTGATGTTCAAATCCACTAATCACTGAGCGAACTTGTCATTTACGGTATGTTTTACAAAGGAATTTTAAAAAAATAGTCGTGCACTGGCTATTAATGCTTTGAACATAGTGAGCAGGTGCTGCCGAGTTACTATCTGCAAATAGAGGCGTCTGCCGTCAGCAGAAAGGAAAAAAGATGTAGAAAACATTGGTGGGGACTGTCTCTGTCTGACCAAAGTTGGTGGGGACACCTCCAAACCAGTCCTTCAGAAAATTAACCCTATGTAGGCCTAATTTAAACAGATGATTATAAAAACAGCAAATTTCTCAGTGTACAAATAATACTGATTTCTAGGTAGCACCAACATAAAATCAGTCATCTGTTCATTGTAATAACAAAGTCTGTTTCAAACTTGCAGGGCTCCTTGGATAGATAACATTGAGTAGGCAAAGGGCAGTGGGAAAAGACTATGTAAAATCAATTTGTTTGATAGTTGCATTATTATGGAGTCCCCAAAGGGACATGAAGGATTTTTTTCTTTTGCAAAAGGCTTGCATTACCTCGTTATAGGTTTTCTGTCCTCTCACTATATTATACTGATCAGTTCATGCGGCATAATGTAATACAATATAAGCCTTTATTACGGTGGCCATTGTACTTTCTGCTACTGTATAACATAAGGTTTTTGTAAGGTTTTTCCATGTATGTTAATATCTTGAGAAATATCTGAAGTTTCATATCTTTTTCTTTAGTATACAAATGCACCATAAACTTGTAATTGTTGTTGTCCGACCGGAGCCAGCATGTCAACAACTTAATCCTCATGATAAGTCCATCGTGGCGCAGGCCATTACAATCAATAGTAGCCACAGAAACACACACGCAAGAAGGAAACAAATGCACCCAGTATAACAGTTTCATTCTATTGGCCGAGAAGTTGCCAGGTGATTGTGACAAAAGGCATTTTCAAAAGTGAGCAGAGTCCAAGGAGAGACTAAGTGTGAGCGGGACTAGAAGTATTGAGTACATTCATTACAAGTTTTGAGAAGAAAGACATCAAGTCCTACTTTTAAAATAAAAATGCAAGCAAAAGTGTTTTGAGAACAAAAGACATGAAAGCCTGCATTCAGACTGGAAATGCAGGCTGAATGGATTATAGCAGAAAAATTTCCTCATATTAGCATATTGTGAGAAAAAAAAAACTTATTAGGAGGAAACGTAATACTTTTGTCCCCTAGGGGGCACCATAAGAATGTTATAATATTATTTTTTTCATCAAACGCATACATGGAGTGTTGCATGTTTGTAGCGTGTGTGTTGCTTAAATCTTCTGTGGCAACTATTTCGGGATGCCTATAAACACTTGCAACACGACAAAACAATATAAACAAACAAAATATTTCCCTAAAGCTCCTCCTTCAGTTTCCAGTTTAGCTTCTGCCCCAGATTAGTGGCAGCAGCAATTCGCAAACACCTGTGGCCTACAACAATGCTTCTATGAACAGTTGGAAACAGCATCATGCAGAAGCATTGTTGTGATGATGTTCTGAAGGGGGAGTGTTAAAATGGGTAGGAACTTATTAAAGACACAGAACCCAATTTCACTTGATTGTGTTGTAAAATGGCACTGATTTTCTGGAGAACATAAATTCACCTTTTTAAGTTATTGTTCCTACCATATGAAGACACTTCTTCCATCACACAAATAGATATACTTTACAAAATCTTTTTTTTTTGCTTCGTATTGGTAAATATTTTTTCAATTGTCTGTTCACAGATTTCTTCTATTCAAGTGGACTGATTCGGTGTTCCAGGACATCATTATGGTTCACATTTAATGCCTTTGAATATACTGACTGTTTCTGACATTAAGAATATGCAATCAGTCAAGCAAGACACTGACTCCAGTGAGTCATACAGTGGAGATGATGCCTTGGTGCTTGCTGTGGCTTTACACAGATCTAAAGGAAACCTTGTACCTCACAAAATGTCATCATTTCCTTTCAAGACTAAATCTATGTGTCGAAGAAAACGTGAGTTTATCCCAGAGGAAAAGAAAGACACCATTTACTGGGAGAGACGTCGCAAAAATAATGAAGCTGCCAAGCGCTCAAGAGAGAAGAGACGCTTTAATGACCTGGTCCTTGAAAACAAGCTGATGGCACTTGGAGAGGAAAATGCCTCCCTCAAAGCAGAGCTGCTATCGTTAAAAATGAAGTTTGGCTTAGTTAGCTCATCAGCATATACCCAAGAAGTTAAAAATGCATCTAATACTCCCATGGTAAACTCCCATGAAGAGCTGATATCTCCCACTGCTGTCCAGAGTTTACTCAAAAGAGATCTTGCACAGCTCAGCAAAAGCTGTGCACCAGCTATCAAACACTTACCTCTCATGCCTGAAACATGGGCCGCAAGTCAAGCAAGCTTTACTGTCTATAAGACACCAGATTTTAAACAAGAACCAGAAGAAAATTCCGCTTGGCAGGAAACTAGTACACCATATAAACTCTACAAAAATTGCAAGGTTAACCATTTGTCTGACATCTGCTCTCAAGCAGCATCATTCATGCAGACTGCCAGGTCATCCAGTAACTCGTCCAGGAACTCAGGTGAAATTTCTTTATGCAAAGCATCATATGGTGAGGATGAGCAGCAAGTCCCTAAAGGATCGGTGCCTTCTGTAGCTGACCAAAGAAGTGTTATTGTTTCTACTCACAAAGTGCCAGATGTCAGTTCTTCAGCTTTGCCACATAAACTACGAATCAAATCAAGAACCATCCAAATTAAAATGGAGCCAACTGATCCTGAATATGAGTCCTCTGGAAAGACAACTAATGCCAGCATTTTAGAAAGGGTGTGTCTGCAGCCCACCCAGAACTCCTCAGCATACATGCAGCCTTCCCACTGTCCTTTGCTGGTACAGGTGTCCAACATGCAAGGCTGGAGCTGTGGGTCTGAAAGCAGTGTTTCTACACAGTGGCTGCCAGAATAAACAAGTCCTAAGCTCAATACTTTTTCAAAACCATTGTAAATTCCTATGCACACTCATTTACTGAGGATATTTATCTGTAAGTGTTGGCACCATGTCAACAAAACTGACTTCTTTGAGAAAATGAACCACAACAGAGAACGATTCTGAAACAAAGTCAGCCAAAAGCATCAATGCATAAACTTTACCATGAAGAGATGCTGATGTTCATATCACAATGAATAAAAGCAATGTTCATATGATCTTGTACTTTGGATTTTAAGTAGTGCTTGTGGCATTGTTGACATTGATATGGAGTAAATTGAAAAAACAAAATGTCAATTTTTTCCCAGACTTGTGATTATTTGGGGGAAAACAGTTCATTAAAGTATGCTAAGAGACAATATCTGTTCAGGTTTGAGGGGTTTATTCAATACTACACTTAGAGTTCAATTATTTGCCATGTATTGTTCTTGTTTATTTGACAGAAACAAGAGCCTGACGTTCCTGCTACTCAACCGGTGCAAATCCAAAATGTACTTAGTTATTGACAGAACTAATAACTCCCAATAGCTATGTGTGTGTGACTGGCTATTGGCCAGCCACACTGCAGTGTGTGGCTGCACACAGCTCTTTCTCACTCCACACATGTGAAGGCATACAAACACAGAGATTGGGTAAACAAAATTACTGCAGATATAATGATCCATTGTGAAACTGAAAATGATGCTATTTGTTCTATGAAAGCATAGTTCTGTGACTACATAGTTAATATAGAACTCCCAACTCCAGGGATTAATTGAATCCTTAAATCTTCTGTGAGCTTCTGTGATTTGATATCTCTGATACAAGTAAAGGAACTATTACACATAAGTTCACAAAACCTCCCTTCAAAAAAAATAAAAATAAAAAATACTAATTCTTTACCAATTTAATTGATCAGTGATTTGTTGCCTTGCATAACGTTCCTGAATTTGATCCCAGATCATCATTAGTGAGCCTTTTTATTGAAGAGTAATTTGCTGTCGCTTGTCTTTTCACACCTGTAGCCATTGATGTTTGGCTTTGTCTTGAGAAAAGCTGCAAAAAGTCCTTGTGTTAGCTGCCAGCTTCTGTGTGTGCTGTTTCTCAGATCAGCCACTATAGACAGGAACAGACTTGCCAATACTTGTTTTAAGCTTAAAACCTCCAGTCAAGTGTGACTCAGCTGTTGTGAATTAAACACTGTAGCAACATACTCTCATAGATTATTTCAGGTATCTTGTCAAAAGGCTTGAACATTATCAAGTGTGTGTGCATGTATATTCTACAAATAGAGAACGACTTTCATAATATCTACTAACATATTGGTAGATATGACTGAGAAAAACTGAAGACTTTTTCTCAGTCCTCATTTTGCACAAGTCTCTCCCTACATATATATAGATATGTTTGTATATCTATATATAGATATCTCTATATATTTATATAGATATAGATATCTATACCTATCTATCTATCTATCTATCTATATATATATATATATATATATATATATATATATATATATATATATATATACAGTACAGACCAAATGTTATATATATATATATATATATATATATATATATATATATATATATACAGTACAGACCAAATGTTATATATATATATATATATATATATATATATATATATATATATATATATATATATATATATATATATATATATATATACAGTACAGACCAAATGTTATATTATATATATATATATATATATATATATATATATATATATATATATATATATACAGTACAGACCAAATGTTATATATATATAATATATATATATATATATATATATATATATATATATATATATATATATATATATATATAATATATATATATATATATATATGTACGTAGTCCCCCGGTGCTGCTTTTATATATATATATAAAATTCCCTTCTCACCCACCTCGGGTGGTTCTTATCCTCTGAGCTCGGGTCCTCTACCAGAGGCCTGGGAGCTTGAGGGTTCTGCGCAGTATCTTGGCTGTGCCAAGGACTGCTGCACATTTCTGGACTGAGATGTCTGATGTTGTTCCTGGGATCTGTTGTAGCCACTGCTCCAGTTTGGGGGTTACTGCCCCGAGGCCCCGCCAGGCCACCAGGCACCACTGTGGTCTTCACCTTCCAATATATATATATATATATATAGAGCCAATGGAGCAGTGGCTACAACAGATCCCAGGAACAACATCAGACATCTCAGTCCAGAAATGTGCAGCAGTCCTTGGCACAGCCAAGATACTGCGCAGAACCCTCAAGCTCCCAGGCCTCTGGTAGAGGACCCGAGCTCAGAGGATAAGAACCACCCGCGGTGGTGGAGAAGGGAATTTTTTTTAATATATATATATATATATATAGATACATATATTTATATATACAGTACAGACCAAATGTTATATATAGATAGGTAGACCATTGCGAACCACACTCCATACCAGTGAGTGGCGCTAATGGTACTAAAAGTTTTTTGCCAACGCCAGTAAATTCAACAACAACGAGAAGAAGAAGAAGAAAAAGGAGGCGAAGAAGAAGAAGACCTCTGTAGTTGACGGTCATGGCTGCTGCAGTGGGACGTTTGTCCCAGTGTTTAACCTCCAGAGTGTACGTGGTGTCAGCCCCATACCTTTGCTGGCGACAGCAGAGAGGTTTGTGTTTCAGTCGCCCCAAAGCTGCAACGCGGCAATACAGTCATGACTCCAGGGACGACCTGAAGGTCCGATATCTGGACGGGGAAGACGCGGGTACGTAGTCCCCCGGTGCTGCTCCTTTGTGGTAATAGTATTGAATGTCTCACATTATTCAATTTTGACAAAATGTGAAGTAGATCCTATAGATCCTTCCTTCGAGAAGGAAAAACTGACTGGTGACTGAATCCTGAAGACTACAAACACATTTCATCAGCCTGCACGGAGCAATCCCTGCTGGTGACAGGACGGTCCTATTTTAAAAGCATTAGTTTATATTTTGTGACTAAACATAAAAGAAAAAATACAGTCATGAGAAAAAATGAGCACACATCATTAAATATTAACGTCTTTGTGTGTTTTGTCTCTGGAAGAGAAAGTGATTTAATTACAAAAATTACTTTTTTAAAACTTAAGAGATCAACTAAACATGTTTTTTAACTTAGGAAAAAGTTCCATCACCTTACTTCCTGCTAGTATTATCCCTTTTGACCTCCTGTGTCAAGTGGAGAAAATAGTATTTGATCTTCCAGTGAAGGCCAGTGAAGCCTGGTGGTCTGCTGGCTCATCACACACTGACCAGGGAAACTGATTGTTGTGCTGCCATGGCTACAGTGTGGTGCTATCTGTAATCTTTGTGTTTGAGCTGGGTTTGTTCACAAATCTGATTGATTTCAAAGCTTGGCCAATTAACCTGGGCCCCCACACACAGACTTTACTAAATCTATATTTAAGCAGTTAGTGGTACAGATCTTAGTAGGCAGAGAGGCTGTAAATCATATTCTAAGTCAAACCAGCCCTGCATGAAGAGAGGCACTCTGCTGCATTGTACACCTCTCTGCTGGATGCAAGACACCAATAGGGGGATGTTATTTATGAGGGACTGAGCTGCAGATCAAGCTTTTCTGTTTTGTGACTGTCGAGCCATGAAACGGAGGAATTTCATGGATCTGGTTTTTCACATTCCCACTTTTTATTGTCAGCCCAACCCGCCATGGGACCCTAAGCAAAATTTGGTTTTGGGGCCCTCTATGTCCACTAACAACGTGGATTGCTGCAATCAAAACTCAGACAATTAGATCATGTGCATACCTACTATAAACTTATTGCATCTCTGTTTCCATTTTATTCTATATGCATGTATAATATAGAATACATTTATCAGCCAGCCAATTTGTTAGCCAGTCAATATATTGGCGACAATTTTCTTAATTTTGGGGGATCAGTTATTGGCTGATACGCACATATGAAGTCAATATCATTCCCTGATCTTATCTTCATCAGGAAAGGTTTAAAAATCTGTCCTCTCCTGCTCCGCAGTAAGAAGTTTGACTGACGGATTGGTCCACAAGGTCATGTCTGCATGTTTGCAGTTAACACTATTCACCCACTGTGGCAAATTCAGTGACATTCTTGCTATGTTCAGCAACATTTCAGACAAAAAAAAGCAAAAACAGGTGTTTTGCCAACATCAAAATCGGCAGGTAAGGCTTTTTAAAGATCGGCGATCGGGCAGGAAACTTCAATTGGTGCAGCCCAACTTGAGATGTAATACATACACACACATATTCATGACATACTTTGATTAAATAAATTTCTCTCAAGCATAAGTCCAGTAGCTAAAAATGTAATTTATACCAGGTGAGTCTTTCTCCCCTGAGAATGTGGACAGATAGTGGACTGATTCTGAGCATCTAAATAATTTGACCAAGTTTCATATATCTCAGAAGCTGATGTAAAAATATTTGATTAAGCCATATAAATGATCATGCTCAGCAGCAAACAACATATCACCAACTGCAACATAGAGTAGCTTATTGATTTATTAATGTAGCAGTTATGTGACCTGATGGGAAAACATTTTGCTAGACAATGTCAAACATTGAGAAGTTTTAATTATTGTCTTCAAACTCAGCGTTTTGAAGCGATGAAACTCAGAAACATCCAGGCCCAACCAGGAGAATCAACTCATTCACAGTTAAAACTCAGTTTCACACAAACACGAAGACACTAGCATAAATGTTTGGCTGTTGAACTGAACCGTTCCAGGTCGCTATCAAGCACAAATCGTTTTGATAAACATAACATTACCAAGACGCATGAAAATAAATTTTTATCTTGGCTCTTTCCTATTTTTCTTTCTTTTCTCTCTCCCTGAAGGATAAACTAACATTGTTTTGCTAACTCATCTTCTACTGCAGCTTTGGACGTTTGGATGCACTCTACACATTCCAGCTCATATTTCCGGTGAAGCATGACCTACCCGGCCAGTAGGGGCCCCCGAAGAGCACTTCATTATTTGCTTTTGTCCATAAAAATAATGATTTCTACATACATTATATGTTATTGTAAAAACAAATCACTTGATAATGAATTGTGTGTTTTTGTTATAATGACGTAGAAATTGTTACAAAATTGTAAAACAAAAAAATTCTCCTCCACTCAGGGGGCCCCTTATTGGCCCTGGGGCCCTGAGCAGCTGCTTAATTTGCTATGCCCTGGGCCGATCCTGCAGGAGCTGCATGAAATAACAATGCCAGAGTTTGCAGCGCCCACTTTCTGGGAGGTAGTGATCGCATCGTTTAAATTGTATATTCAGATATTTTATTGGACAATTACTTAGAAAGATATGGCCTAGTCAAAGTCCAGACCTGAATCCAATCAAGAATCTGTGGAAAGAGCTGAAAACTGCTGTTCACGTCGCTCTCCATCCAACCTCGCTGAGCTCCAACTATTTTGCAAGGAAGAATGGGCAAGAATTTCAGTCTCTTGATGTGCAAAACTGATAGACATACCCCAAGCGACTTACAGCAGTAATCGCAGCAAAAGGTGGCGCTACAAAGTATCAATGCAAGGGGGCCGAATAATATTGCAGCCCCACTTTGCAGTTAAAAAAAAAAGTTTAAAATTTTCAATAAATTTCTTTCCAGCTCATGATTGTGTTCAACTTGTTGAAAATAAAGCACATTTTAGATCATTATGTTTGAAGCCTGAAAAGCAGCAAAAGGTTGAAAAGTTCAAGAAGGCTGAATACTGTTGCAAGGCACTGCATGTCCAGGAGCCCCTTATTCCATAAACGGCCCCTTATTTTTATATGTTATCTGTTAAAGATGTGTTACAAACATGAGCTTGCCTCATGTTCCCCTCCTGAGCATGGAAAAATGTTCAGACTCAGGATTTTTTTCCATCAGGCCTGACATCATCTTGTTGAGTATTTCACATGTTAAAAATAATACTAGGGAAGCATGATAGATGAATAATATTGGTATTGGCCTATGTTGGACTATTTTTAACATCTCTGTATTGGCTCGATTAGTTAAACTGGGCTGATATTAACAACCACTGTTTTTCCATTTTGTTACCATTTGTGTTTCAGGAGGGTTGTGGGTTGGTCATGTGGTATTCAGAGACAGTGATGCACCACAGGATTTTGTAGGGAGATTTGTTGTTTTTTTGTTTTACTGAAGCAGAGAAGCAATGTGTGTGGCATTTATGTTGTTGAAAGGGAAAGGGAATTATCTAATTAGTTATCTTCCGTTACAGCAGGGGTCCCCAAAGTGGGTCCTGGAGGGCCGGCATCCTGCATGTTTTAGTTCTCTCCTTGGTGGTACCAACAACCTCTTCAGCATGTCAATGTTCTTCTGAGGCCTCTAACGAGCCATCATTTGATCCAGTTGTGTTAAATCAGGGAGAGAACTAAAACACGCAGGATGCCGGCCCTCATAGACCAATTTTGGGGACCCCTGCATTACAGCAATATAAATATCGAAGATCAATTTCATCCTTAACTATATCAATATATTGCATCTCTATTTCAGGAATTGTTGTTGTTGGGATAAATCGACCAAAAGCCAAAAACTCTATAAGCAAAAATCTTGTCAACATGGTATGTATTTATTTATTTACCTTTTTTGTTTTTTTTTAAAAAAATCATTTTAGATTTACTTGGCTCTCATTAAATAATTTCTGAATTATTTTTGATCAACTTCTAAATGTGTAATGTTTTTATGTATTTGTTCTTTAAGGCTACTTTTGAAATCTGAAGGCATTTCAGATTGTCAGGGTTTTCACAAAGCGATATTTGGTCTTTTCTTGATAATGTTTGTTTGATGCCTTGTTGAAATTGAGAGTAAAAGATTAAAGGTCATCAAAAAGGCTTGGGAAACAGAAGCAAGTTGGATTTAAAATTAATATAGATTTCTTGATACTCATTTTCCTGAATCGATGTAGCAAATGGTTCATCTACGGATTTGGATATGCATTTGTATCATATGCAAAAAATATAATGATGCGATGTTACATCATTACATGTCATATAAAAGTAGAAAAAAATGAGACTGAAAATAAAATATGGAAATAATTATTTTTCCATCTAAAATGTTCATTTTGCTGTGCATGTCTGTAAATCAGACCCGAATATGTAATGTTATTAAATGTAATTATTGTTACATGTACAATAATTATATAAATTGCATGTAATGATGTTACATCATTACATGCATATGACTGTTGATGTGTTAACATGACATTAACAGCCATGTTGATGTTACTGTTACTGTGTAACATGGACTGTTTGTGGAAAAGTTTGTTCTTGTTTGCTCTGTTTCATGTTGTCACATTAGGTTTTCAGACTTGGATAACAGAACACATCCTCTGTAATATATCAGCTTTTATTTTATTGTCTTTGTAGTTATGTCATTTAACTTTTTCTTCTAGATGTTTGCGGCTGTAGAGGATATTAAGAAGAATAACAAAGTGCGCAGTGTCATTTTGTCCAGCTTGGTTCCTGGTATTTTCTGTGCAGGTATGCAATTGGGGACTTTGCTGTTTTATCTTTTGACGTAAAGTTTTGTCTAAATGTTATGTGCCAAGTACTTATTTGTTCTTAGGAATGCTATGTTCAGAAATCATCTTGCAACAGGAGGCTAAGACACAAACTTGATACTGTGATTTTGTTTCCGTGTATAGGTGCAGATCTGAAAGAGAGAGCAAAGATGCATCAAAGTGAGGTGGGACCGTTTGTTTCAAAAGCAAGAGCCCTCATTACAGAGCTGGGTAAGGTAGTTTATTTGCTGCTCTTCATACTATACTTTAGCACCAGTGTTCTATCATAGATGTAGTAGAACTATATCAGCGGTTCTCAACCTTTTCTGAGGTTCTGAACCCACCAGTTCCATATGCGCATTCACTGAACCCTTCTTTAGTGATCAATAAAATAGGACTTTATTTCCAATTCAAGACATAGGCATATGCTTTTTTTACTGGTGCACAAAATGAGTCATGCATGAACATCACCTTGCTCAAAGAACAAAACTAACACAGTGCATGAACTCACAACAAATTACGCTATTACTTTATTCTGGTCCCCAAAAATTTTGGTTCCATAAAGAATTTCAGCCCCCAAAAATATTTTTTTTCATTACCGGCTGAGATCTACCTCATGAAACGAAGACATAAAAGTTGTAAATTAAACCCTATTGACTCATTTTCTATACGAATATACATTTATGTCACTATCATTTCAGTTATATCAGAAATGATAAAGTGACAGAGACCTAATGCTTTTTCTTCCTCAGTGAGATTCTAAAGTTACTGGTTTCTCAGTCAGAAGCTGGTTGCAAACCTGAGGCCAGCAGGTGTCAGTCAGTTATGAAATTTGGTTTGAATATGATAACTTCAGCCTGATGAGAGGAACCAAAGAGCTCTGTTAAAGTAAAGGCACATCTTCTGAACTTGGGATATAATTCATTTAATTTCACAGAATTATTGTGGTAGAAGACATTTGTTTGTCAAAACTTAAATATATTTGTCCTATTTGATGTTTGTTATGACGTTTACTGCAAATGAACGAGGTCATTGGTCCAAATTTGTTGTTTATTGATCGTTCAGAAACTCCAGCGGCTGTGAAGAACCACAGCAAAGGTAAATAGAGGTGAAACAACACAAACAGGTGATCAACTCAAAACTAAATCAGCTTTACCTTTCAACTAAATTTTTTACACTGTGGAGAAAAAGTTGCATCTATTTATCTGCTTCATGTGTGATGGCATGATGTGGATTCTCCATTCAACTTGTTGAACACTTTTTAGACGTAAGGGAATACAGTGCAATTGAATATGAAATTAATATCATTTAAAACTTACAGGTAAGAATGGTTTATGACAAGAATTTTTGACAATCTGTCAAAATGTCAGACATCTTGAAAGTTGGGTAACACTCCTTTGATGGAGAGATCTGGAAAATGACTCATTGCTTTATCCACTGCCAATGCATCAATCAACGGCTGACTTCAAACCAACCCTGTCTGGCCGGCCCAATTGGAATCATAGCTCTGAGTATTTCAGGGAGTGGGTGGGACTGGGCTGGAAGGGCTAATGCACTGAGCCCTGCAATCAAAAGGAAAGTTCTGGGGCATCATGCATAAAGCCTATGTGTGCACAAATAATGTGCGTGCAATATTTTATGCACAAGTTGGCATGTGTAAAAATTAACTTTGTGTCAAAGTTTGCATAAATATACGTACACTTTTTTGCTGCTGTGAAAATGTGCGGCAGCCACGCAAACGTGTTCGACTATATCAAACTACAAGCATCAAAACTCACCTAAATCCACTGACGTTTGACTACATTCAGTTATTTAGGCCAAGAAACATTAAACAGGATAGTTTTCATGGTTTTAGTATTTTATTGTTTAAAATGTAAATGATGAAACTGAACCGCATTTATCCTCAGACAATATACTGACACACAGACAAAAATAAAAATAGAAATAAAAAGATGTGAAAACCTCACTCCAATGTAAATGGTACTTTTCCTCAGTTTTTGTTTCAAAGATATAACGCATTGGTCTGCCCAAAAGTGCATGAAATGCATCTGTGGGATAATTTCATTCTCACTAAAAAATGAAAATAGTGTTGGATCAGCAGATTAACTCCAAACAAGGTGTATATAATCACACGTACGTAAGGAGCTGCGCAAAGGTGAGCTGTGTGATTGTGGAGCGCTTTGGCTCTGATGGAGAACATCACCAATGGAAGGATTCAGAGAGAACAATAGATCAGAAATCATATTGATCTGCTGAGAAATGTGATAATGGTTTATTAGTGTTTAGATTAACCCAGACTGATCACCCTGGAGCACTCAGCAAAACTTAAAGAAAGAGCATGTCAACTAAAATCGTTATTCTTATCTTACAAGCATAAGAATTGCTTGTAAGACTTTTACATTGAAAGTCTGGTCCAGCTGCAGTCATCCTTCAGTGGAGCCGCCAGCTTTGTGAATGCGCCTTCAGGACAGAAAGCATCTCTGTTCTGTAAATGTACAAATTATGCACATGATTTCTTTATTTCGAATAAACATCAGCAGTCCAATCAAAGGGTTCTCTGACACGCTGTCTGTCTTTAAATACCTGCTGAACGCTCTGCTGTTCAAACAGGCATTTTCAGGATTTATTTATTTAGTAATGAAAAAATGTTTTCTTTGAAATGTATTATTTTTGTTTTTGTGAGATGACCTTGTGCCCCAAAATCAGATTTTGCAGAAAATATAGAATTATTAATATCTTAACTACTCATGCTGCTGTAAACAAGGACGTTTATAGCACCTGAACAAAGCTACTGCTTCAGGTGGTGGCAGACTTCTGGGTATTTATACTAATTCACATATCCAGTTATGGGTGATGACAGGCGGACCAGCAGCTGCCCTCTATTTCCTGCAAATTGGGATGTATAAAAGAAAGGGGCGTGTGCACGGCTTTTTTTTTTTTTTTGTGCGTCACAATTTTCAAAATTTTTCATTAAGCCAAGTTTTAGTGTAAAAACTGCACACTGTTTTATGCATGAGGCCCTGGACGGACAGTTAGGACCAGGGGTCACCAACCTTTATGAGAAGTGTTATTTCACAGGACCAGAGGAACATGAAGGGCTACTTGTTTAATACGGACAGAAACTTTTTTGGCTCAGTCTTTATAACAACACTATGATGTTCCAAAAACTCCCTTGGTGGCAGTTTTGGGAGTAATACCTGATGGAATAGACAGGAAGGGTGATAGATATCTTCTAAGTATCTTGCTCACTGCAGCCTTGAAATGTATAACTATCAGGTGGCTGAAACCAGGGCCTCCTACATATAACACATGGATACAAAAAATTTGGGGCATTTATCTGATGGAAGGAATCACATATTCTTTAAGGCTTCAATGAGACATTTACATGATTGCCCTTTTGCACTTGTATGCACCTGTGGGTCACTTTAAAATACTATGGTGTTTAAGAGTGTGTGGACCATCTTACCTCTGAGGGGATTTAATTGTGTCTTGTATTTATTCTATTTTGTTGTTATTTGTCTGCGGTTTGTACTCTGTTATGTATTCCTTATTGCCTATGTTAGATCATTTGATGTCTCATCTTGTTTTCTCAAGTTATAATGCAGAAGATATATGTCAGTAAGAGACAGAAGAATGCAACTGTGGGCATGAGTTGTTAAAAATAAAGTTAAAAAAAACAACAACACTATGTATATGTATAAATATGATTACATGCTGTCTGATCGTATTAATGTTAGGGACTACTGACAATAGTTATTTTATATTATAGTTACTTTACTATTAACAAAATTGTGAAGAGAAGAAAAAGATCTTTTGTGCCACAGCATCTTTTATCACATCAGTGTGAGTCTGTGGGGGTCAAAGGGCACGGCAAAGCCTTAATCTTATTGGTCAGTTTGCTTTTCTTGTGAGCTAAAAATTAATGAGTGGAGTTTGAATCTCCATTGTTCTAAGATCCTGCCTGAGCTTTTTACAGTGTGTGCGGTTCTGGCGGGTGGCCAGTTTATTTTTCTTGTGGTTTCACAAACTTAAAAGCTCACAGGCCACTCATTGGATGACACCAGCAGATGTCCTGCAGATCAGAAGGTCCGCATTAAACTATCACTGCATCTACCCTGCAGGAGCACACATCATGTGCGCGTCGCACAAAACCAGGTGTCAGACGTTCAACGTTGTTGCTTTTTTTGAAGCAACAACGTTTGCTTAATTTTGACTCTTTTGGAGAACGTTTTGACTAGATTAAATTGTTTAACCCAGTCTTGGCCCGGCACTCAGAAAGAGCAGCAGATGTCCGCTGACTGGACCCGCCAGCTCTCCAGTTCGGGAAACATCAAAGAAGCTCATAAACCGGCGACCTGCCAGAACCGCACACAGTAAAGCTCAACCGGCATCCAAAAGAAGAACTACGGAAAGAAGAACAACATCTGCTCATTCATCTTTTGCTTACAGAAAAAGCTCCAAGCCGCCAAATAAACAAAAGCAAACGGACCAATAAGATTTAAGCTTTGGCGTGCCCTTTGAACCCCACAGACTCACATGTGCGCTATGTTCAAGATGTTTTGACACATAAGATTTTTTTTTTATTCTCCGCAATTTTGTAGAGAATAATAAAAATGTCAGAAATTATTCTTTTCTTTTTTTACTTCATGGAAAATCTTAAGGTAGGCAGAGCGGGTTCAGCCGTACAGCTGCAGGTGCTGCTGCCCTCCCATAATATCCTGCAGGCGTCTGCGCATAGTTCTGAAATTTAACCATAGAAAAGAGTTTTATGTGTAAAGCAATTTCATTCAAACATTTTTTAGAATTTAGTTTCTTTAAAAACTTTAAATATTAACAAAAACAATAAATTCAATCATTTCTTTGGCAGTGCTCCCCAATTTCAATGGCTATTTTTAGAACTTGCTCCGCGGGTGACTGACAATGCCCCCTCGGGCGACCAGGGTGTTGGTGAAACTGAATTCATGTATGCGTTTTTCTTTTCTGTGAAGTTGGTGTAGGGGAGATAGGATGTAATAAGTTTGCACTTCACCTTGTAGGTTTGAAAGCGTTTGGAACCAATTGGATAGAATTGAACCAGACATTAATCAGCTGAAGTGCAACTGGACAGTGGCAAATAGGCTTCTAAAGCATCATCCATCCCTTGTTAGTTTCTGTGGTGTCATTTCCCATAAATGGACAATGTATCATTAAGAATATTGGTGTTGTGCTGAGTTATTTGTGCATCAGTTTTTTTTCTAGTTTATTTATGTATTTTCTTTATTTTTCAGATAATCTTTCAGTACCTACTATTGCTGCAATTGATGGGGCTGCCTTAGGAGGAGGTTTGGAAATGACCCTTGCTTGTGACATAAGAATTGCTTGTAAGACTTTTACATTGAAGCTACAAAGACACATAATCAAAAAAAGGGTGTATATGTATGTATACATGTTTCAAAATACATAATGGTTTCTTCTTTATTTCTGTAGCCAGCAGTGCAAAAATGGGATTAGTTGAGACACAGCTTGCAATTATTCCTGGAGCAGGTGAGCTTGAATTTCTATTTTATTAGTTTTTCTGTTTTTCCAAAAGTAAAGAGGACTTGAAATCTTAAAAAAAAAAAAAGTTCCCCAGAATTAAACAGCCTGTTTGCTTGGTGTTGATGAAATGTCAAAGATGTGAAATGTGAGATGTGACGAGGGTGGACATGTGTATGTGTTGATATAAAATTTTTTATTGAAAATAAGTTTAAAAAAAGAAAGCTAGCTGCCATTTTGATCGCGTAGTATTCAAAGCTCCATTTTTCATATGTACTATTTGTAGGTGGAACACAACGTCTCCCAAGGATTATTGGTGTATCTCAAGCCAAGGAACTCATATTTACTGCTAAAATAGTGGATGGAAAAGAGGCGAGTCATCTGGGACTAGTCAATCATTCAGTAGAGCAGAATGACAATGGAGATGCTGCCTATCTCTACGCTCTTGAACTTGCTCGTCAGATCAACCCTCAGGTACTCAAGCAATGAGTTAAACATGTATATTTAATTGGAAAAGAATCAGTTGCATAACTAAGTGAAAGGGTTGTCATTTTAAATCTTATTTCTGAGTTTTGACTTTACAGGGTCCAATTGCAGTTAGGATGGCAAAATTAGCAATCAACCAAGGAATAGAGGTGAGTTGTAGTAGTTGCTTAACTACTAGCTTTGTCAAAGTCCAGTATAAATATTTATGCTTAATGGCCAAAGTTTGTATTGGGAAAAATAGTTAGAGGTCAGATTAGCTGTAAGCCAATTGAGTTAAGTTTAGATCAGGGGTGCTCAAACCTTTTGAGACCAAGATTCACTTTTTCTCTTACCAGCCGGCTGAGATCTACCTCATGAAACGAAGACATAAAAGTTGTAAATTAAACCCTATTGACTCATTTTCTATACGAATATACATTTATGTCACTATCATTTCAGTTATATCAGAAATGATAAAGTGACAGAAGACCTAATGCTTTTTCTTCCTCAGTGAGATTCTAAAGTTACTGGTTTCTCAGTCAGAAGCTGGTTGCAAACCTGAGGCCAGCAGGTGTCAGTCAGTTATGAAATTTGGTTTGAATATGATAAACTTCAGCCTGATGAGAGGAACCAAAGAGCTCTGTTAAAGTAAAGGCACATCTTCTGAACTTGGGATATAATTCATTTAATTTCACAGAATTATTGTGGTAGAAGACATTTGTTTGTCAAAACTTAAATATATTTGTCCTATTTGATGTTTGTTATGACGTTTACTGCAAATGAACGAGGTCATTGGTCCAAATTTGTTGTTTATTGACGACAGCAAAGGTAAATAGAGGTGAAACAACACAAACAGGTGATCAGCTCAAAACCACTCGCACATTTTTACTCTCCGTCTCTGTTTATTGTTTTAAACATACTGTTGCCGTAGCAACCGCCTGCGCCCTACAAGCCCAGCAGAGATTACGTTAAAAACATAACATTCAGTCCGTTATGATATGAGGTTTCCAGGTTTGATATTTATTTCTCGATTATTAATAAGCCTCTCATGAACACAGCGGTGGTTGATCAGCTCATTTAAACTCCTGCTCTGCTCCTCAGTCTGTCTTTGAGTCACCTTTTTTTGTCTGTCTATTTTTGTCAGTGGAACTGAAACGCAACTTAACAATAATTACTGAGAATATTCATTTTAACACATTTTGTTGATTTGTTTTAATAAATTATTTTTTGATGAAGCTACAAACGTTTTGGATCTTGGTGAATATTTTTGATAAGCCTGTCAGAAGAGGAAGTGCTGGTATCGGCTTCCTGGAGGCCTTCTGTTTGTCACCTGCTGCTGAGATCGCAATCGACGTATTGATCACCCCTGGTTTAGACTAATTTCCGTCTCTGATCAAACACAATCAGGGATGGAGGGCTCTGGACCGACTGTTTTTTTTCACAGACTTGGATTGTATCTTTGTCTCATTTGACAAAATGGGTCGAGGTCGGCTCAAGACCTCGACCCAATATTAATATCTCAAGTTTTGTCAAAATTACAAAAACGTTTATCTTCACTTGCAGACGCACAACAAAATGAATGTGAATTAAAAGAAACATAAGTGATCGCAGCGCAGCTGCGTCCCACTGTCTCAGAAACAATACAGTGTTATTTTTTATAATGATTGCAAAATCGTGTGGCATGGCAATGTTTACAGACGTGTCCTTAAAGTTAAAAGAGCACATTTGTGTGTTCACATGTGGTGTGTGGTTCATCTGAGCAAACACCTGCAATCTGACAGCAGAAAATTCTGAAGCCTGCTTTTTAAAGACATGAATAATTTTAGAATAGGAGACGCTTCTAAAATTAGGAGGTGGCGTGCCTATGACATAGATCTTGCGATCTTGCACCAAATAGAACTGATAACAGATTCAAGTTATGGTCCTCAACAGGATTAACTACCTATTACTCATTTTCCCACAAAGAGATATTTCAGTGTTTTGAAACTTACAGAAGGATCACTGACTGGGAAAAGAGGATTCTTTTAGGTACCTGCAGGTGAGACATTATTTTAATAGAAATTTTAAAGAGAGAAATCCATCACCAGGAAATGGCTAAACCAGACCCACTCACTGTTGATGAATGGATCGATTTATTGGATTTATATTATGGAAAGGATTTCTTTCTCCAAATTGAAAAATGGAATAAGATCTGGACCAAATGGACTGAGTATGTAAAACCAATTAGATCAGACTTCACTTGATTGTTCTTGTGAATTATGTGTACTGCCCTTTTATATACTTGTGATTTTCTATTGCTTGAAGTGGTGTAATCCCCCCTTTATTTTTATTTTATTTCCTTTATTGTTTTTTTGTTTTTGTTCATTTACAACAAAAATCTGTTAAAGAAAATACTAGAAAGGCAATATGGATAAAACATGTATGACCTTGAAAGGGTGAAGCTATAAGTATTGTATGTGATGGAAATCTGTCTTTCTAAATAAAAAAATAATTACAAAAAAAGGAAAGATTTTAAGGAGGGGGAAAGCAAAAATGCAGCAACTTCTAAATTTACACATAGGCTTAAATCCAAAGGGTGGAAAAATTGTCCAGTAAGTAAATTCTTGAAGCAAAAGACATCTTACATATTTTATTTACTTTCACTGCTCAATGGGAAGAAACACATTAACAATAAAAATCAGACTGCAGTTTGTTATTTTATTTCTTTGGCTGAATTATGATAAACTTCCACATTATGCTTTGGAAATCAAAACTGGCAAAACTCCTATGCTTCCATAGACTAGCTCCTTTTTCTGTCAAAGGTAGCCAGTATTTCAATTATATTTAGCTCTCTAACTCTTACTTTAATGAGAAAAGTTTGAAACTGGAGCAACAGAGCGTTGCCACTAGCCAACAGCTCTGTGTGGGAGCTGAGAGCAGAGGGGCTATTGCAGCTGGCAGTAAAACAATAAAAAATGCCTTCATTTCTTATCATCTTCAATGTAGAGCCTTTAAAACCACAAACTAAAATCTGAATATTTTTCTGGAAAACTCTGGTGCTGAGCCGTAAAGATAAAGGTCATTTTATTTACATAGGACATTTTCAGCATCAAGAGTTTTTTTTTTTCAGCATCAAAAGTGCTTAACAGGAATTAAAAGGAAATACAAGCAAAATAACAAACCAAAGGAAAGAGCAAAAGAAGAATGAGAATCTAATGTTGATCTAAACATTAGACCAGATGGACACAGGGTTGCTAAGTGTCCTCTGGTCTAATTCCTTTAATAGGATTAGGAAGAATAGGCTTTTAAGTTTATGATTCTTCCTAAATATTCAATATCTACATATTTATAGGTTCTCAGCCGTCCAGGAAATGGGAAAAGAAAATCCTCAAATAACAATAATAATAATCATATTAAAAAATTTCAAACAACTTAAGTTATAATTTAAATACCACATGACATGTATTGAGAACCACTGCAATAAATTAATATTTGAGGAATTTTATTAAGTGGAGTTACTTATTAAAACTTTTCACTTTAGATCTGTGACTCTGAACCAAATTAATATCTAAGCGACATTTGAATCTTAGTTTGACTTCTACAGTTCTCACCAGTTTGTTTACTGAGAAAAACACTTGTGATTTATTGCTACTTACTTGTCATTTTGGTCCTGCAGCTTGAACACAATGAGAAGAATTTTAAACCACATTTTAGGTTACATTCAAACCTAAAATGTTTGAATGTATTGGGGGGTTAACTTTGCCAACCACCAATAATGAGATGGGATTTATGCCCTTGAATTTACAATATGCAACATGAGCAGGGCAACATTTTAATAGACATCCACAATGAACACAAGAATAAGCAAGTACCAATGCCAAAATGCACAACTCCCAGAGATTTGTATAATCCCACACATTCTGTTTGCTCTGATGATTTTGGAAATTCCCTCTAAAACAATTTATGTGCCTGCATTAATAGCAGGTATATTAAAATACCTAATAATTTCGAGCATATGTGTTTTTAGGAACAGCAATTCATCTAACACTATGACGAATTGCTTTTATTCAGATGATGATGTAAAAATAATATTTTTCTTTTAATATGACAAGTCTTTATTAGTCAAATTTCTGTTTTTTTAAATTTGTCATATAACTGTTGCACAATGTAAATTATGTAAGGTGATTTTTATGCAGTTTAGAGAATGTGCATCAATTTGTGGCTGCAGTTAATAACTTAAGTATTAGATTATTATGACCATTAAGTGTAATGCCAAGAAATAGTTTAGTTTTTTTGTTTTGTTTTTTCCATTTAACTGTTTATTGGTATTTTTCACATTTGTTTACATAAACAGTGAACATGAACACATCACATCCAACACAACCAAAAATGAAACTAAAACTGTTGCTAGGGAGCTAATCCTCTATATGACCTTTGTTTCCTCTCATTTACATAGTTCTTTCTCTACTTTTGTTGCTCTCTTTTGTCCTGAATGCAGTCCATGTTTCTTCCATTTGTGATTGCTGAAGTCTCAACCGGTGTGTCAGTTTTTCCATGATGTAGATTTCTTCTACTATTCCAGACCATTGTTCCTGACAATGAGGGTCTGCTCTTCCCCATTTCCTGGTGATAGCTTTCTAGCCAGCTATTAACTTTATCTTGATCAGATATCTGTCTTTTACCCTTACTTTGGTATTATTAAAATTGCAGATAGTACCATGCTACTCAGAGGGATATCATATCCCAGAATATTCTTCACAGTTTCATGTACATTTTTCCAAAATTGAACAATTTTAGGACAGTTCCAAAATATATGTGAATGATCATCGATCCACATTTCCACCAACACCCTGCGTTTGTGTCTCTATATTTATTCTTGATTTTAGGCGTGATAAAAAAACGTATTGGGTTCTTCCATGTGAACTCCCTCCATATCTGTGAATTGGTGGATGTCTGATGCGTTTTCCACATATCTAACCAATCTTCATCTGTAATTGTCATACTAAGCTCTGATTCCCACTTCTCATTTATATACTTTGTTGAATGTTTGTTCATCATTTTTGATATAGTTTAGAGATTATTTTAATTTTGGTGCCACTAAATGAATTTAGCACAACTCCAATCACACCATTCACTTCCACAGAAGGGTCCCACTTGATTTCTGCCCTATAGTAATCTCTCAATTGCAGGT